TGGAGTTCTATATAATTAGGAGACCAATTGGTAGAGTTGCAGAAAGCCCACAGTCATCAGCATCTTAGTTTGCTAAGATTGGGCCTCAGAGGAAGACTGCAAGGACTCACCCGCAGAGCATTTGAGTGAAATGATTCCTTGTGTGATTCCTAGGAAGTTGGAAGAGGGAAGCGTGTACATCCGTGGAGAAGGTAGGGAAGCAGTTGCCCTTTAACTGGTGTGTCTTAAGAACAGGATTCCCCTTGACTCCTGATCTCGCCTCGCTGCTGAATGTTGGTGGCTTTTAGAGACCAATCAGAGGCTTCTTGATAAAACTGATAGAACTTTTTTAAGTGCGAAATCTGAACACAATAAGAAATAAACCACTTTAGGATGCATACTGATTTTCAAACACCATGTAGGTACAACTTGCAGTAATTCTGAGTTGCCCAAAATTAAGTAAAATCATATGTTTGAAATGAAAATTGAAGCCCTTTTAGGTATTATGTAAGGCTTATGCCTTCCCTTCATCAGCACAGGGGTAGCTATTTACTGAAGGCACAAAGGAAAGGAGGCTTATCTCTACTCCTTCTCCAACAAGTAAAGTTACGGAGATGATGCTATAAAGCTGTACCCTTCGTCTATATCTTAAAGACTATCTCGGAGGCTCCAGAGGACTGGACCTGGGGTCCTGAAATGGGGAAATGTCACATCATATTGTCACAGCACAGCAGCCCTGTGCACAGAGGTCCACGCCACTCCTGCAGACCAGGAACATTCTTCCATTTCCGTAAACCGGGCTGTGGCCTCCGAACGGTTTTGAACATTTGAGAGCAGGCCACGTGCGTTTTGAGGAGTGAGTCCGTGTGCTTTTAAAATAACATTTCATTTTTGTCGGCAGGCGTTGACCATTACTAAAACAAAAATTCAATTCACTACAGCGAAGTCAGGGTGATTGAAAACTTGACAAGTTTTATACAGATACGGGGCTTTGGAATAGCATTTCTTGAATCCTGAGAATAGAAAACACTTGTGACTGAATGGACTGGAAGCATTTGCCAACCACAAAAATTTATAATAGGCACATCAGGAACCTGCTCTAATTTTCAGATTTCAGCTCTTCTGAAGGAAAACTTCAGAAAATGTTTACAGAGACGTAACCCCCACCCCACCTGCATGGTAGACCGCCTAATTCATCCAGTGTGAGTCGGCCTACAAATGTAGCTTTCATCTTTATTTCCCAGAGGCCCTAACTGCAGTTCACCTCACCCACCGCTAGACCAAGGAATATAAGCATTTTGCCTAAAGTAAATATTCTTGGAGGTTCTCAAGGATTTGGAAAAGAAAGGATTTCCACTTCATATTCTAGTCACTGGGTGGTAGCCAGTTACACAACACATACCCCCCCACCCACGTTCATGTGTATGCCCACGTGGGTCACCCCAGGACCCCACTTAACCCAGGGGTCTTAAGATGAAGTTACAATTTAGATTTCAAAAAATGTTTCCGAGGCTCTCAACCAGAAAAAACAAAAACAGAAACAAAACAAAAAACGAAAAACAAACAAAAAACAAAAACAAACATTCTAGTGAGGACCAGTAAAAGAAACTATTTCCTTATTTATGGAAGTAGTTTTTCCCACATAAACACTAATGTTTGCCACGGTCTGCAAACACAAGTATGAAACAGAAAAGGGGTAGCCATCTGACTCTAATAAAGTGTATGTAACTATGAAAAGAGTAAAACATGCTTCTTAACTTAGTAAATTTCTTTAATGTGTTTTGAGAGTGGCCAAAATGTTTTAGAATTCTCTGCGTGTCAGAGTGAACCCAGATGGCTTTTAAAGTTAAGTTAACCGTAGTCAGAACTAATCCATTGGAAAGTTCTCAGTTTGGGATTTTGAGGTCTTGTGTCCAAACACAGGTAAATTTCAAACCTGACTCAGGGTTTGAGGCTATGTGTGGGTCGCCAAACATCTGGGCAATATCACAAACTTTTTATGTATATCATCTCTTACTATAAAAATTTTTTTTAAAAATCCATCCATGGGGCGCCTGGGTGGCTCAGGTAAGCATCCGACTTCAGCTCAGGTCATGATCTCATGGTTCTTGAGTTAGAGCCCCATGTCAAGCTCTCTGCTGTCAGTATGGAATCCACTTCAGATCCTCTGTCCCCCTCTCTCTCGCCCTTCCCCGACTTGTGCATGCTCTTTCTCTCTCTCTCTCAAAAATAAACATTTCAAGAATTAAAAAAAAAAAAAAAAATCGATCCACTGATCAGAGCAGACTAGATCCAATGGCCAAATCATAAAATCTAATTCATGAACTTTGCCATCCCAGTTGAACTTTGCCTGTCAACTCTGACATGCCAATAGGTATCCTCAGTTTCAGAAAGGCTCTCAGAAAGTACTGTCCCCTGAAGGTGACCTTTATAAGTCCATGTATTGTTGTGTTTGGTTATAGTGTATGGGAATGTACCACCAGAAGGGAAAGTTATCTGATTTTGTTCAATATACATGTTATAAATATTAAAAAAAAAAAAAAAAAAAAAAAATTGACCCCAATCCTCTCCATTGTTTCCAGGAAGACACTAACAACCTGCTTCCTAAGTTGGGATATAATGAGAAGCACTACAGCGTTGTGTAAAAACATCCATTCAACCCCCCGGGCACATTTTATAGTGTGTCCATTGCACACTACACACTGAACCTTTTAGTGCATCAGTATGTGTGGATGGTGCACAGCAAATGACTTGGTTGCTAGGGAAGTCTAACTAAATACTTGGAATGAACTCAGCCTGTTATTACCTTCACTGGAGAGAGAATCCTACCTGCTCTTTCCGCAAGCAGTAGTTGATATGTACAATATTGTGCAAACAATGCCAGGGAGTTACTTCATCACAGGTCTCAACCTAATCAGATGAGTCAAAGGACCAATTAAACGAGATCTTAGTTTTCCAAAGGCTGAGTCACCTAATATCCATAATCGCTTCCGAACTGAAGAGTGATGTGATGGCTCCCGGGTGATCTGCCACCATTGAAGAGGTCGGCAGCGGCTGCCATTGTGTGAACCCGATGTGTTTGTTCCTTGTGTGAAGGAATGGTAGCTGCTTTGTAGCATCGAACTGTTATTCCCAGATGGCAGCGTGGTCCTTATCTGAAGGTATTGTGGGGTTTTGTTAGACGGAGTAGATTTTCTTCTTTTCCTTTCCATGACCTCACCTAAGCCCTAGACTCATTTTCTCCTGAGCTCACCTCTGTGGTGTCTTCCTGAATCCTGCCCGCGAGGACGCGACCCCATTTGGAGAGCACAGGGGACTGGAGAAAGAAGGGTACCTGGGTGGAGAGAGGGCTCCTCTGGAGAGGCAGCGTGATGCACGGACCGGGCACAGGGGCTCGCAGAGGCAAACCTCGGCTTCGAGACCTGGCTCTGCCGAGTTTTGCCAAGACCAAGTCCCTTAAACTCTTTAAGAGTTCATCATCTCAGTCTTAAAAAATAAGACGGTTGAAAGCGACCTTCCAAATGCTTTCCAGCTCTGATTCTGCAGTTGAGGAAATTCTGCACTAATTGCGTGTGGAAGCGTATTATAAGGTTCTAGATGAGATGATGGATCTTTTTTCACTTCATGCTTAATCTTGACATGCTCCAGTTTTCAAAGGCAGAAGATTTTAAAAGTGAAATCAGGTTGAACTGCAAATCGAAACCGCTCACTCTCCAGTTAAGGAGACGGGTGCCATATTCCCTTGGGTCTCTCTGCCCTTCCACTCTGCCTCTCCTATGAAGTCCAGTGGCTTTATAGAAGTCACTGGAAGTCCCGTTATGTCATTAGACTCATTTCGTTTGGAGATCGTGGGGCCCAGTGTTTTCTAATTAGTAACTCATTATGGGGTACATACCATCTTGAAATCATTTTAATGCTGCCCATCCTGGAACGTTCCCTGAATCCTTTGCCTCATGTACAACTCGTTTCTTTGCGCTGCCTGAATGTAGGATTTTCTATTCTCGCTTTCCCTCAGATGCCTGTTGCGTCTGAGGGAAGCTTTTCACATTGCCCTTATTTTCCCACAAAACCAAGCAAAAATAAGAAACCTGAGGTGCACTGTGATACAGGTTGCTCATTATCTAAAAGCTGAGTTAAGGTATCGTGAGACGTGAAGCCAAATGTTCTGCACCAGACTCCGATACAGTTGATGTGGAAAAATACCAGTGTTCTACTTGAAGCTACACCTTTAAAGTGTTTCTCTAAAAATATTATTCGAGAGATCTGGCATAACTTTGCTCAAGCAAGTCTATCGCGGAGGGAATCTTTTGGTTTTGCTCGATTTGATTACGTGGCATCCTTAACATGCTTTACCTTTAAATTTTACTTTGTTGACTATGCTGAGCACTCATGATAGACCTTTGACTGTGGTTAGTTTTATTTGCTTTCGTTTTATTTTTTTATATAACCTGTTTTTCCTCTCCTGTCTACCTGATGATTTTTGAATTGTTTGTCTGTATATAGCTATAGACATAGATGCTACTGGCTTAGATGCAGAAGAAAATGATATTCCAGCAAACCACCGCTCCCCTAAACCCAGTGCAAACAGTGTAACGTCACCCCACTCCAAAGAGAAAAGAATGCCCTTCTTTAAGAAGGTAACATGAACTTCCAAGCTCCCATCTGCTCACCTGCTCAACTGCACTGCGCCACACTTCTCGTCCTGTTGACTGTCTGTGTCTTTTGATAAGCCAATAACGTGCATGCTCTGTTATTCTTTGTTTCTCTTCCACGCTGCTGTAGCTAAGCAGAAGCAGAGATCGGTAAGTTCACATTGACATCAGCTGTGTTTATCTTGCCACTGGCATCATTAGCATTAAGTCCCACGATTTTCAGAAACGCAGTCATTTCCGTCCTGAGAAAAGAACCTAGCAAGCAGCTCATGGAGTCCATGCATTTCCAACCGACTAAATTCAGGGAGTGACCCGTTCAAGCGCTATTACAGTACTTATCCTTTTTGATGGAATAATACCTACTACCAAGGGCATTTGTTGAAACCTTCAAAGATGTCAGACGCTGACAACCCCAGATAATGCACCTGTACTGTGCATGCTTATTCTGTCTGTCTTTGTCTCTTTTCCTTTTTCCAGAAATTTAACTTATAGCAAGCATATTAAAAAAACCATGATTAGATTCTGATTGATGATATCCAGATACGTAGCTTGTACTAAAAAAAAAAAAAAAATGATTCAATTTTTAATTTAGTCAGTATTTAAACTTCTGATCCACTAGGTGGAAACTCTGCAGATGAACAAGACCAGTGGAAAACTGCAGGCTTGTTTTGGCGGTTTACTGTGAGTTTTTCCTATTGTCATATATAAATCCTCCCCCGATGTTCTTCCCTCCTCCCGCAGTCAGCTCGCAGCATCTCACCTGTTGGATAACGGGGCGGTCGCCGTGCGTACAGCCTTTGCCACCGGCCCGCCAACATGCCACACGGTGACGCCTCTTTGTCCCCTGACTTGGAAACCAGGGTATTCCTGAGCGCCCTTCACTCCAAAGTCTGTTTCCTTTCACGCATTTTGTAGCTTGAAAGCATTATTTTTTAAGGTCCCCCCCCCCCCCCCGCGCACACACACATAGTTTCCATTCCTTCCTTCTCACACACGCCCCTTTGAAAAGCAGCCTACCGCTGTGCCTTCTTCTGGAGTCGTGCTTCCCAGTGTCACCACGCCCAGCACTCCGATGGGCGCATCCTGACATGGACGCAGGCATTTTGCTACATGGAGGAACTCTAAAATAATCCATGAGGTGTCACAAGCTGAACTGTGAAGTTTGGTGGTGGTTTTCTTTCTTTTTTTTTTAATGAATGATGGTTTATAATCGAAGACCTCAGCACTCCAGGCAAAAATGAAAACCTGGATTTTTGTGTTAACACGGACGGCCCCAGCCTGATGTACGTCCACACCAGTGGCCCAACTCGCTGGTCCTGTCGCCCCGGCGCAGCTAAAGCTCGTGGCCGAGTGACTAGCAGTCTTGCCTGCACAGATGCCTAGAAACTCCTCATCCTTCAGATGCTCTGGATTTTACAGAGCAGTGATCTGAACTGAAACCATGTTAGTCAAAATATGGGGGTTTTTTTGAAGTTTGCTTTCTCTTAAATTCCCAAACTTCACTGATGTCTATAAACCACAAATTTTTTTTCAACTAAACAGCTGGAACAAGATAGGGCTAGCGGAAAACGGCAGATAAAAATGATGGTGTCGTTAATCCATAGGGCACAAAGTACCAATATTCCATCAAATAAGGTAATTTCTGTAGCTACCCTATCGAATGAGAAGCTGATTTATGACCGGCATGGGTAACCCTTTGCTAGCTGGTAGCCACAGATCAAAGGAACCAAGACCTTATGTGTGAAATCCTGGGCCACTTAGGCTTGAAATGAAATTTCTTGGTAGCCATTGCTGAAAGATGTGCAATTTCTATTCCTGGTTCCAACAGTGGAAAAGGTATTCTCCTCCTGAACAGTTTTAAGAACTCGGCTTCTAAACAGCTTCAGTTTGATCCCAGGTGGTACCAATGTAATAACAAACATGCTTATGATGCCTTCGGCACTGGTATTCATTTCTCTTGTGTTACTGATTATGTGGTGAACTTCAGTGTAGAGCTCAGAAACAAAAAGCCAACCTGACATTCACCGATAAGATTGTTTTCCATCTTTTAGGTTGCTTTTAGAGTGGTGCTCTTGGCATTTGTGCTCTTACTGTATTATGTTTGTCTTGTTTTTTTTTTTCTTTTTTTTCCTGTTTGAAAATGTACTCTACCTTTCTTGTGTCTATTAAAATTAAGTTTGAACACTAGGTAAAATTTTAAGCAGTGAAATTGGACAGCACAGTGGCAGCATCGTTTTTACCCCCTAGAAATCTCTCTGCTCCTGTGGGCGGAATCTCAGGTCGAAAGGACAGTGTTTTTTAACTACCTCCCACCCCCAACCCCCCGCTCAAAGCAAGTGAAAGTCAGTCAAAGTCAGAAAGTTTTAAGCAACCCTGCACTGTTCTCGAGCAACAGGCTGGTGCAGAAATGACGTGTTCATGCATCCATTTTTCAAATTCTTAAAATAGTTAAAAATATTATTTGTGTCTGTGTGATTCCTTAAATGTATTTTTTCAGGCACTCCTGATGCAGGAAGCTTCAGATAACAATGATTTGTGCACCCCAGTGGTGGGAGATCTTATCTCTCTCTTCTGCATTAAAAAAAAAAAAAAAATGTCCTCTGGGGTCCACGTAAGCAACTTCTGTTATGGAAACAGCCGATTGTAATGTGATCATGCAAAGTAGCTGTTCCCTGAGTTTTGGGGGGAAAAGTTTTATCTTGATCATTTTATGTGAAGCAGTTAGAGCGGAACATTTTTGGAAGTTTTAGAAATCGCTACAGAATTTAGCTCATTCCCCTGCTCTCCCAAGAAAGAAAGAAATTCTCGTGGAAAGGCATGAATTCATTATGTAATAGAGACGTGACCCAGGCCACTCTGGAGAAGCATATTAGATACGCAGGTTGATAATGAACCTTTGGAGGCCCGTGCAGCATGCTTGACTATGTTATCACACATTAACCGCCTTCCTTACAAGATACGTAAACGCTACATTTATAAGTTTTCAAGTTCCAAGGGATAGAAACCCCAAATCCAAAACCTCGAGTCCCTAACCTGTGCTAGGGGTCCTTACCGAAAACAGGCCTGCCTGTCACTGTAAACTCTCACAGTTTCATAGGGATTTGCAAGTATTTGGTGATGGGCGTTATGCTGTCTTGAAATTAGGTTTTATCCAGGTAAGAGCAGGATGCATAGCTAATAAGACCTTTCTTTTCTCCTAATTAACCACGTTAGGTCTGATCATTCAGCTCTTCAGAAAACTCTCAAGTGCATTGAAAAAGCAGTATTAACCTCCAGTCCAGCCTGAACACCTTTCTGCATGAGGCTTGTTTCTGTCCTTCCAACTAGATTTTGCTGAAAAGCAGCACTTCCTGCTTTAGGAACTAATGTCAGTAGTATTTCTTGAGGTGAGCAAGAAAACGGTAGACGATTCAGTCACCTGAAAACCCTTAGGAAAATAAGCCCACCATGCTTTGATTGGGTTTGCTGAGGAAAGAGGCAAGTAAAAAAGAACAGAAATTTCTGGAAAGCCGGTGCCTCCTATGACAGAGCTCAGAAAGAACAATTTAGACTTAAGATATCTAAGCTCCCCCCGCCTCTTAACCATCTGAAGTCCTCTGCTCTCTCTCTGCAGACCGAGCACACTCCTCCGTACGACGTGGTACCTTCCATGCGACCCGTGGTCTTGGTGGGCCCTTCTCTGAAGGGGTATGAGGTGAGTGGCTGCCCTCCGGAGCACACCTGACCTTCGCGTGCAGTGCTGCTTTGTGACTCTGCCGCCCCCTTGAATTTAGAACTTAAAGAGCTCGTAGCCGTGAAGCACGTCGTGTCCCTGGCTGTGGTATATAGTGCTTCCTGTTTTGTTCGGTTTTGCTGTTATGGCTGTTGCTTTGGAAGTTTGGCTATAGCTTTAGTTTACTGAGTTGGGGGGGGGGGGGAATAGTATCAAATGGAGAGTTGCCTGAAAGCGCTTGGAATGTCATGTTACTGTCACTAAAACATCAGGATAGCTTTGGGGGAAATCCCCCGTTTTAATTGTCACTGTCGTCAGGTCTCAGCAACGGAAACGATGTGGCAATCTCACGTGCTACTTTTCCCAAAGGGGCACTGTAGGGTTCTTAAACAGTCTGAGGAATAGAAGTGTCTTATCATAATGAGTAATGGTTTTATTGCACCTGATTAATTTATTGCTCGCTCGATTGCAGGTCACAGATATGATGCAAAAAGCATTGTTTGATTTTTTGAAACACAGATTTGAAGGACGGTGAGTATTTCAGGATATTGGGTTTTGTGGATTTCTTCGGGAAGATGACAAAACCCGGGTGGGGCGGGCATGTGATCCCAAGAGAAAAATGCCCTCTGAGGTCTGTATGGTGACGGGCAAGAAGTCTCATTCAATTCAATCTGATTCAGTGAATATCTGTCATACTTGCTCAGCACGTCCTCGACCCTGGATAAGCCAGCTCTCTGTCCCTGCATCTGCACCTATAAGCTGAATTTGTCCTGTTGACTAGTCTCACCCTCAAGTCAACCTGCTGTCAGTGCTGCACCGATATACCCGATATCCATCTTCTTTTCACTTTTCTGACTTCTGTACCTTGGCCCCTCTCACCAGTTCCCAACCCCCTTGTCATCTCTCTCCACTTTGAAGGCAAACCGAGGAAAACCTCCAAGAGTTCCCACCCCCACACTGATCCCCCACTTGCGTGTTTGCTTGAATGCTCTGTTTTTCCCTTCCCATGTTCCTAGCAATGGCCAACCCGACGACACGGGCATTACATCCCATTCCTACCCCAACACAGCTGTAGAATCCCTTCCTTTCTCCTCATTGCTACTTCTCATTTCTCACGGACACTCCGTTGGCTCCTAGAAAGGTATTTTCTCCCTCTGACGGAACTTAGAATGGCTGTTCCCCTCTAGCTGCTCTGTTTTTCTCCTTTTCTTTCTAGCAAAACTCCGTGAACAGGTAGTGCACACGTGTTCTCTCACGCTGAAGTGTGCTCGTTACGCAGCCGTCGCTCAGCCAAAACTGGTCCTGTTAGCTCCCCCGTGACCTTCCCCCTCGCTAAATCCAGGGGTGAATCCTCAGCCCTCCTCTTAATTGACTTGTTGGACTGCTTCATTTGTCTTTTACTTTATTTGCTTGTTCCCTGCAAGCACACTTTCCTGGTTTTTCTTTTATCTCACTTTGTCTCCTTTTCCTCCTTGGCCAGTTCTTTGTCATCCCCTAGACATCTGGGAGAGCCCAGGGGTCAAGTCCTTTGGTCTTTTCTCTTCCAGTTACACTCATTCTGTGAGTGATTTCATTTTATGTTAGGCTTGTAAATAGCATTCCTTCGCCAGTCTATTCTCTGAGTTCCAGATTAGTGTGACCACTGAGATGTCTAATGGATTTCTCAAATTGAACCTCTAACTCCCCCCTAAAGCCTGCTCCTCTCATAGTTTTCCATGCCTGAAGTATAGCTGCTTCAACTGTCAGTCCTAAGACCCATCAGCCCCAAATCATTGAATCATTCTTTTTTTTTTTATGCTTATTTATTTATTTCGAGGGGGGAGGGGCAGAGAGAGAAGGAGAGAGAGAATCACAAGTAGCCTCCATGCAGTTAGCGCAGAGCCCGACACAAGGGTAGATCCCACAAACGGTGAGCTCATGACCTGAGCCTGCATTAAGGGTCAGACACTTGGGGCGCCTGGGTGGCCCAGTCAGTTAAGCATCCAACTTCAGCTCAGGTCATGAACTCATGGTTCATGAGTTCAGCCCCTGTGTCAGGCTCCGTGGTGACAGCTCAGAGCCTGGAGCTTGCTTCGGATTCTGTAGCTCCCTCTGTCTCTGTTCCTTCCCTGCTTGCACTCTGTCTCTCTCTCAAAATTAAATAAAGATTAGAAAAAATTAAAAAAAAAAAAGTCAGGCACTCAACCGAGCCACCCAAGCACCCCGAATCATTCTTGACTATTCTTTTTCTCTTACGTTCCACATCCAAATGCTGTCATCTGTATCCTCAAAATATATCAAGAATCTACCGACTTCTCACACATCCTCTGCTCTCCTTTTGGTCTAAGACACCAGCATCTCTTCCCTGGATTATGAGCAAAAATTGCCTCCTAACTGGTATCTTTACTTCCTTAATGTCTCTTCTCAGTTCAGCAGCCTGAACAACCGTGTTCAGCTGTGAGCTGGATCCCATCTCTCCTTTGTTCAGACAAAGCACTATGATCTCCACGACAGAGTCAGCCCACCGTCCCTTCCAAAACACCAAGGGCGGAGAAATGAGATGGCATTTCTTTGCTGTCCAAACCTAGCAAGTTCTGAATTTGGAAGACAGATTCCAGCCATAGGGTAGATCTTGGACCCATGTTCTAAAATGTTAGCTATCCACACTGATTTCATTTAAGAGAGAAATGAACCAAATATCTCAGTGCTGTATTGGTTTGCTGCTTCTGGACCAGCTGGGGCTTTTTTTGAACCATAGAGCTCACGTTTAACACTCTAGGCTTGGGATCACCTATTAGAGATCTTCAAAGGACTTAAGAGGGTCCATAAGATACACTTAGAAAAATCCATGGAAAAATTTAACTTTTTAACACAGGGCAAGACATCCGAGTCCCTGAATCCTTAAATGTCTGGTTTTGGCACCAATAGGGGAAGGAAACTCCTCACAAGTATCTGGTCCTTCTCTGTACATGGACTTTTAGAAGGGAAAAACTAATTACTCCTTAATTATCTATTAAATAAACTAAATTTATTTTTAAAAAACTTGAAGCCCAAGGAGAAGAAAATAGGAGAGGAAGTGTTGGTGAGGAAGAGACTGTGGACAGGAATTCTTTTCCGTTCTTAAACCTAGTTAGGTTCATTTGCCAAAGCCCTGGAGAGTTGTCAGAATCGTGATCCTCGCTGTTAAACAGCATTAAAGTATGTCAGGTCAAAGAAGAGATGAGAAGTCATTATCTTCTCTCTGTTGCGTGCCGAAGAGTAGCCCATTTAAAATCCGGTCCGTCCTAACCAACTGTGTCTTGTAAACAAAGCAATCTTCGGCTTCACCTTGTAGGACATTGACAGGTAAATTAACAAGGAAATTGAGGACAGGAAGGAAAGCTACCCTTGGTGATGAATTTGGCTTTCCTCCCTAGTGACTTTGCAAATGTTAGCTAGCTGTCGGCACTGAAGTATCTGGAATGCAAACTGAATCGTAGGGATATGTACGCCGTTGAATCAATCTTCTGCGAGGGAATCTTCTTGGAAATCAATAATCCTGGGAAACATTACATCACTGTATTCTGTCATGTAAATAATTTGCTTAGATGTGAAGACCGCTTCTTCTACACTGGTGGTTATCTAGCCCGGATGCATCTTAGAATCCTCTGCAGCACTTTAAAAATAAATCAGAACAAACCACCACCAAACAAGGGCTTTTCTGCTGCCTGTGGCTGAAACCCAATCTCTAAGGTAGGACCTAATGTAACTTTCAAAGCCTACATGGCAGTTTTGATTTGCCAGGAAGGTTAAGAACTCTAAATTGAATCATCCCCCAGATTTTGCCCTTAGGATTTTCAAGGTCCCTTTTTTAGCGGAACCCCAAGGAGTGACAAGCCCCAAGGCATTACTTGAGGAGTTGAAATAGGTTGGTGCCCCAACTTCACACGGCTTACAGAGTTGCCCACGGAAGGTCACTGGGTTCTCGGCTGAGCATACCATGTGCAGAAAGGTCCAAGCATATGGGGGAAGGAGGAGGGGATATATTATTAGAGAAAATCCGGTCCTGCTTCTGAGTCAGTTTCCCCACAGGCTGACTGTGTGACGCTCTCTGGTCTCGTCTGTCTGGTCACCGTGGATTCCTCAGGACGGTGCCCATCACAGGGCAGCTTGCCTCTCAGGGAGTGCCCAAGGCTGTGTAGAGCACAGACCCAGACTGGGTCCCATCCAGCTGTCCCGCCACTTCATATGCTCACTCTTCCCTCTGCCTAGAACACCCTGCTCACAGTGTCCATGTGGCTCATACCCTCCCTTCCTTCATGCCTCTGACCAAAGGTCAACTTTCCTGAAAGGTCTTTCCTGAACAAAAATGTGCCCTCCACCTCACCGCTTCTGTGACTTCATGACCCTGCATTATTTTGTAATGGCCTTATCACGACCCGACATCAGATATGTGTCTGCTTCCTTTCTGTCTCCCTCCATCCCACAAGAATTTGAGTTCCAGAATAGCACCCTCATGCTATTCAGCCAGTCAGGTGTTGGATGAATGACTCCCTCTGTGGTCACACAGATGCTAGACTGTCCCCTTCCTTGCAGCTGGAGCTCCCCAGATTGTGTCACTCTAGCTACTAGACCCGCCCCCAAATAAATTAAAACATGTTAAACAATTCCTAAGCATTGGGTGTTTCACCTATAGCCTGATTTCATTTGTGAAAGCATTTTGAAATAATAATGAAACCATGTTTAAATTGGTGTTTTGGTGTCTCTTCTCTGGTTCTTGCTTTTTTACGTGTTAAATAAAATTTTCCTCAGAGTACAAAGAGCCCAAAAATCCAATACTGATCTTTTAAAAAACAGCAGTCCCACTCAGCGGTAAGAAGAAATGGACCCTTAGAACAATATGGATGGATCTCACTTTCCATTATGAAAAGTGAAAGGCGCCCCATTCAGAAGGCTCCAGTGAATATTCTGGAAAAGGCAAAGCTAGAGCGATGAAAAACAGTTCTGTGGGTGCCACGGGTAGAGAAGGAGGGAGAAAACTGACAACCGCGGGGGGTGGGGGGCAGCACATGGGTGTTTGGGGGGGTTAATGCAACTATTCCCTATCATGCTTATAGATAGAGAATTCTATGAATTGGTCCAAATTGATGGAATCGGACACCAGAAAGAATGAGTTTTGTGATACATAGGTAAACACGTTTCTTTTTAACAGCCAGGGGGTCCCTTCCCCCACTTGACCAAATGCCCTGAGCTTCAAACAGCAACCACTCTCGACTATGTTACGTGTCTCTCTTCGTTATTTACTCCTTAGCCCTAGACAATGTGCTCGATTTGCTACTTGAGTTTTCAGTGGTAGGCTTTATCTATTGACTTCCTACCTTGCAACGTCCTTACCTCTCATGCATCGTCTTCCGGTTTCTTCCATACCTGCACCCATCTCATTCTTCCACCTCCCAACAGTTAAATCCTAATTTCAGCTGGCTCCATTTCTACTATGTATTATGACCTTGTGGGTAATATGCAGATGAGCCATACTATATACCATAATTCTTTTTTTCTTTGGTGTTTCCACCCCCTCCCCCACCGAATGTATTGAAATGCATCCGGTAATCACTCAGCTTTGTCTTCCTGAACCTCTGGAGGCCTTCTGTCATTCTGAGAAATCCTTCACCTTTATTCTTGGGAATCCTTTCGCCCTCCTTTTGGGATGGAGCCCCCTTTCCTTAGATCCACTGATCTCTTGAAAGGTTTACCTTGTCATTTCAGTCAACAACATCCTCTAGTAGTTTCCCTTGAAAAGTACAGAACTTTTTGAGGCCCCCAAATGTCTAAAAGTGTTTTTAAGCAACTCTCCCATTTGACTGAGAGTTAAAATGGCTATAGAATTCTGATCAGAATAATTTCCCCTTAAAATTCTGACAACCTTTTGCCCCATTATCTTCTGGCTTCTATCGTTGCTGTTAAGAATTACAGGACACATGGGCTGCCTCGGTGGCTCAATCAGGTAAGTGTCTGACTTCGACTCAGGTCATGATCTCACGGTTTGTGAGTTTGCGCCCCATGTCGGACTCTGGGCTGACAGTTCAAGCCTGGAGCCTGCTTCAGATTCTGTGTCTCCTCTCTTCAATTTGGAAAATCAGACGTTTAATTCTGGAATTAATTTTTGGTCTCCTCTCCTCTGCTTTTTTGATTCTCTTTTTTTCTGGGACTCTTATTATTTGGATGTTGAATCTCCTGGCTAAGTCTCTAACTTTCATGTCTTCTATTTTCTCTCCATTTGCCTTTTGCTTTGTTTCACCCTTTAGATTTTCTTATGTTCCAGGTGTTCTTTTGAATTTTTATTTCTACTGTTAGTTTTAATTTCCAGCAACTCATTCTGAGTTTCTAAATAGAAATTTGTCACAGTTTCCTGGATATAATAATCTCCTAGCTGGCCCTTGCCAACATGGTTTTGAACTTGTGTGGTTCCACTTATGAGGATTTTTTTTATGTTTCTTTATTTTGAAAGAGAGAGAGCATGAGGGGGCAGGGAGAGATAATCCCAAGCAAGCTTCACACTGCCAGCACAGAGCCTGGCGTGAACCTGGTGTGAGCCCAGTTTCAGAGCCACCAAACTGTAGGATGATAACATGAACCGAAACCAGAAGCCGGACGCTCAGCTGACTGAGCCACCCAGGCGCTCCTGCCTCTTTTTGAGAAAGAGAGGAAGGGGGCACGTGTGCATGAGCAGGAGAGTGGTAGAGAGAGAGGAAGAGAGAGAATTCCAGGCAGGCTCCACACTGCCAGTGGAGAGTCCGATGTGAGGCTCGATCTCACAGAACGTGAGATCAGAACCTGAGCCTAAATCAAGAGTCAGACACTTAACCGACTGAACCACCCAGGTGTCCCTATGAGAAATTTTTTCAATAAATCTATTAGAAAATTTGGGGGAAGAATTGTGACCATTTCAAAAATCTTGCCAGTGAACCAATTAGAAATACTGGAAAATTAAGAGAAAGGTATAAGAATACAGAATTATTATTTATATATATGTAAATAGTTATAATTTTATATAACATACAAAATATGTGTTTATAGCCTGTTTACATTATTGGTAAGGCTTCTAGTCAACAGTAGTCTATTTATTAAGTTTGGGGGGAGTCAGAAGTTCTATATGGATTTAAAAAATTTTTTTATTTTGTTTATTTTTGAGACAGAGACAGCAGGAGCTGGGGAGGGGCGGAGAGAGGGAGGTACAGAATCTGAAACAGGTTTCAGGCTCTGAGCTGGCTGTCAGCCCAGAGCCCGACGCGGGGCTCAAACCCACAAACTGTGAGATCATGACCCGAGCCGAAGTCGGACGCCTAACCGATTGAGCCACCCAGATGCCCCTCTGTGTGTTTTGACTGCACAGGGTTTTGGTGCCTCAAACCCCCATGTTGTTCAAGAATCACCTATATTATTCATACTGTTGATTTTCCTATGTGCTTTGGTCACTCTCAGAGCTTTTCCTCAGGCGCTCGGTGAACGCTGCGATGCTCCCGTCTAAGAATGGGGGGGTCACACGATCACTTGGAAATCCTGTGCTCACAGGTGGCACTTGTCAGCTTTGGGCTTCCCTATAGGACAACCTCACTGGACCATCTGCATAGGAAACCTCCAATGTCATTGTCTTGGGGTCTCTTCTCTTTGGCAGTCAGCTTTCCCACGGAAAGATCTTCCACTCTGACCCCCGGAGGATGCAAGCCTGGCTATCAAAACTGTAAGACCGGGAAAAGGGCTGGGGACTCTCAACATTTAGAATCCTTTCTTTTCCATCTAGCATCTCTGCTGTCACTCTGCCTACGGTCTCCTGGTCAGAGGCCCTGCATTTTACTGCCTGTAGAGAATCAACCAGTGGCCTTATATCACACGGGGGACAGAGTATCATCTGGTGACTCTCTAGTAGAGGGGAGGTGGGGGGCTCGAGCTCTTAAAAGGGCTTTTCACCAAACATCCTGCTTTTAGTTTTATCTTCTTCTTCAAAGGTAAGCGTGAGGCTTCTAGTTTACTCAACTGTTCTGTTACTTGTTTATTTGGCTGTCTCTGGTCTAAGTCATCCTGCTGTTTGCAGCCTCCAAATTGTGGGGTTCTCATTTCTCCCAGACCTAAAATGACCCCCCTAGTTCCTTACTGACACAACACCCTCTCTATCCTCTCCACAAGAGCCATCTTGATCTTTTAATTATTTTGTCATTTACCTTTCTTATTTATTGCCCATCTCTTCTGCTAAACTCTCAATCGGGTAGAGTGCTTAATACTTGCTAAGCAAACAATAAATGCCAAGTAAGAAGGTGCAGGATAAACAAAAATGAATGATTAATCATTAATAACTCATTAAAAATGAGTGATTTTCATCGGAAACTAATGTTCGCTATATATTTCAAACTTAGATGGGTTTTGGGAATGTATGTCTGTCTATCCCCTCTTATCCAGCTAGTAACCTCGGGGTCTTCCGTTACTTTCCCCCCAACAGGATATCCATCACAAGGGTCACGGCCGACATCTCGCTCGCCAAGCGCTCAGTGTTAAACAATCCCAGCAAGCACGCGATAATAGAAAGATCTAACACAAGGTCAAGCTTAGGTAAGTCTGTGCAGTACTGATGAGCTTAGGCTATTGGAACGTTTCTCTCCTGAGGTTGCCGATGAGAAGCTCTAACTAGATGCTGATGCTGTGTGTCACAGAGCAGGGAAGAAACGGACTTGTGTTGCCAGGAGCAGGTGCTCCAGGCTTAGTGATTTCACGATATGGAAGGATTTGTTACGATAGTTGCGAGTTACATATTCCACTCGCTGTCAGCATTCATGTTTTGGTTGTGGTGTTTTTTTCCCTTCCCTCACCACCGTGAGTTTTGATGTCTACAGACTCTAAAAATTCCTGGCTTTGCATCCGTGTTACCATGGGCAAGCTCATTGAGGTCTTTAATGCCTAGTTTCCTCATCTGAACAACAAAAGAAGAGAGAGACGGTATTAACGACCTTGTAGCACTTAGGATTAAACATAGTATGTTCTCCATCAGTGATGGCTCCTATCCAAAGACTCTCAGTAACTGAAATACATCAGTGATTATGTCATAGTCAGGACAGCATGTGTTGGGGGGCGGGGGTGGGTGTTGAGATAAAAGATAAAGTCAGTTCCTGGCCATTTTTAATGGATCTTATTTGTAAAAACAGTATAGAGATTTTAGTGAGCATGTTGACAGGGTTGTTTTTGGATACTGTTTATAAACATGTGCTGATTTGCTCAAATGAGACTGTCTGGCAGCTATTTTGACCCTCTGGCAGGTGCTTGGTGTTTTCGGTTAATCACTGTCACACGTTTACCTCACTGGGCTGTTAGGTTTCTTTTATTATGAAGTAATTTTTCTGAGAGTTTGAGATCTTTAGTCTTAGATCATATATAAATTATCATATAAATAATCATATAAATCATAGAGGAAGTATTAAAAATAATAAAGTTTATCTGCTTGTAATATGTAGAATACCTTCTAAAACTCAGTTTTGTTCCTCGTCTAACACCTCACTGACTACATTTAGGTAATAGAGCTTTAGAAATACATTAGGTGGGGGAGGGGAGCATCTGGGTGGCTCAGTCAATTGGGTATCTGACTTTGGCTCAGGTCATGATCTCACAAGTTGTGGGTTTGAGCCCTGCGTCGGGCTCTCTGCTGACGGCTCAGCACATATCTCAAAAATAAACATTAAAAAAAAACTTTAGGGGGAAAATGTGATGATATATATTGCTTACCGTAATTTCCTTTCATATCGTTTTCATCTGTGACCCTTCTATACATTTTTGATGTTCACAGAAATTGATACAAAGTGCTTGAGTCAGCTCATTAACAGTGTCCAGTAATTTGTTTAGACTCGTAAGTCAAGTCAGTGACATAATAGATTTATTTGGATTGACAAGGCTTTTTGTCACTACCATCTCTATATTATTTTTAAATGGCTGTTCCACTTCATGAACTAGACACTGAGCTTCATACTGAATAAAGCCTGGAAATAGAAAAGATGAATTAGATGCAGGCACTGCTTGCGAGGAGCCTGGTTTAGCAGTAGGGCAAGGAAGTTACCAGCTCATTGAAATACAAGTGGTGAGCACAGTGGGCATGCACTACACTGGCTGCCGGACAGCTAATGCTGCAGGAGGGTCTAGGCCACCAGGAAAGGCTCTTCTGAGGAGCTAAGTCTGACCCGAGACCCGAAGTGTGATAGGGATTAGGCAAGACAAAAGGGATGGGGAGCCTGGATGGCTCACTTGGTTAGGAGTCTGACTCTTGGTTACAGCTCGGGTCATGATCTCATGGTTCTGGGATCAACCCCCATATTGGGCTCTGAGCTGAGCTGACAGTGTGGAGCCTGCTTGGAATTCTCTCTCTTTCCCTCTCTGTCTCTCTCTCTGTCTGTCTGTCTGTCTCTCTCTCTCTCTCTCTTGTGCTCCCTGCCCCTCCCCCTGCACGCCCCCCCCCGTCACGCAAAAGTTTTAAACTTTTTTTTTAATTTTTTTAAAAAATATTTTTATTTATTTCTAGGAGAGAGAGAGACACCGTGAGCAGGGGAGGGTCAGAGAGAGAGGGAGACACAGACTCCGAAATAGGCTCCAGGCTCTGAGCTGGCAGTCATCACAGAGCCCGACACGGGGCTCGAACCCACGAACCGCGAGACCATGACCTAAGCGAAAGTCGGACGCTTAACCGACTAAGCCACCCAGGTGCCCCGTTTTAATTAAACTTTAAAACAAATGGAGAGAAAGAGGTAGAAAGGACGATGGGGACTTAAAACGAGTAAATAGAGGCTTCTGGACAACATAGCTGTGGGAGAGGGCACCTAAGAGGCAGAGACATTAAGGAATTTGGAGTTTATCCTTAAGGCATTATAGAATCATGTATAGGCTTTAGGCACTTATTCATCCATTTAACGTATACTTGGATGTACCAGCCATGTGCTAGGCATTATTATAAGTAAAGATCAAAGATGTAAAGGACACCAGATCCTCGCTCTCATAGAGTTCTTATTTCATAAGGAACATGTGACAGAAGTGAACAGATGGAGATGCTGAAGTCTGTGGTTGAGGGGTCTGGAAAGAAAAGGCAGGCCAAGGGGTAGAGACAAACTGAGAAGAGTGATTTTACATGTGGAAGTCAGGGGAGCCTCTGAGAAAACATTTTAGCAGAATGATTTATGTTGTGAATTCTCTGGCCTCACAGCCCCTGTGAAAAGACTGTTTTGGGCAGAGGGAGCTGAAGGTGCAAAGGTCCTGTGGTAGGAGTATGTGTGATATGTTGAAGGGACAGCGAGGAAGCCAGTGTAACACATGTGGAACGAGCCAGGGGGAGGGGTTTGGGGGGGGTAGTGAGGTCAGAGAGACTGTCTGATCACGTAGGACTTTGTACGCCTTTTATTGTGGATGCGGTAGAAGGGTGTAGGAAAGCAGACGTGACATGATAGGAATGTGATTTAGAAGGACCACTGACCGCACTGTGGAGAAGAGAATGGAAAGGGGCAAGAGCCAAGTCAGGGAAAATTCAGATTCTGGTGAAGCGGTTTCAGGGAAGAAGGCGGCGCTCCGTGCAGAAACTAATAAAACTGGTGCCTTTGGAAGCATCTGCGTCGCCGCAGGGTGGAGACAGGTCAAGAACTGGACAGGGAGGTCATTTACTAGGCTGTTGTCATTCGTCATTCAACTCAGAGAGTAAGAGGACTGAAGTCAGACAGGGGCGAAGGGAAGGAGCAGAATGAAGGGAATCCCGAGAGGAGAGAGCCAGGATCTGGCAAGCTGCTGAACCTGGAACTTGAAGAAGCCACCTCCAGCACCATCTGTAAGGTGCTGCTTTCATGAACTGGGTCATTGATGGGGTTATTCTGGGGAGAAGGCAGTCAGGAGGGGGAGCTTGGCTGAAGGAGTGGACTGAGTAAGGGATAAGGAAGATGATGATCACGTCTGTGCCCAGGCTGAATTTGCAGTGTTACGAAGCATGCAGATAACCCAGCAGGCAATCAGTTGTGTATACTGATCTGGAACTCGGCAGAGGACGGGGCTTAAGGTGCAGTCAGTTCTCACTCAGTGAAGTAAGTCTCCATGGGCACTGAATTAGCAAATGCTGAGCCTCTGCTCCCAGGGAAACCCAGGGGTAGTGTTCTCTGAGGAATTTCAGCCTTTCTCAGGGTAGCACTAGGAAATCGTACTTCTAGCAGGCAGGTCCAGTGATGGCCCTTCTGGGCCGATACAACACGTGAAATTACAAGTTGTGGGTGTTACGTAGACTCTGTTACAGAGGAAACGTGCTTTATGTTACAACATAGTACAAAACTGATATTTTAACATTCCAGGTATGTAAGTATATGTGTATATGCTATGCCTTAAGATTCTTCTGTATTTAGTAGAGCTTAAATTTTAGATGATCTACCTCATCTCAAATTTAATACGGGAGATCAATTTCAGCAATTACTTCTTTTATAAAAGGATGAAAGATCCAGTATAGTGAAGATATAATTTGATAGGTAAAATTTTGCTTTATGGGTAAGATTTTAGAAAACTTCTGTTACAGAAACAAAAGTCAAGTATGTTGCCTTTGGAGTTCATATGCTGATGTACCGCTGTATGACAAGAAGGGAAAGGAAAACTCCGAAAAATTAGAAGCTTTAAGTACATCTGTTGTACTGTTTTGGGGTGGTACACGACTTCTTTGAATGGACAGACGGCTGTATTTGTACTCGTAAGATTCATACAAGTTCTTTTATTTTTCAGTTGTAATGTTGGTCAAGCATTACAATCTAAGATATCTACATTAGCTATTCAAACCTAGAGAATGCAACATAAGAACATTACACTCTTAGGAATAAAAATATTACTTGAATTTAGACAGTTAAGCCACAACAAAGTTATAAAGCCACAACAAGGTTATAATTGGAATAAAGATGTGAAGATCAACAGAGAGTATCTAAACAGTATGAGTAATGTTTTAAAACGCTTATGAAAAAAATAATCAGAATATACCATTTTTATTTTTAAAACTTATTAAAGGAAATTCAAATATATAGGGAAGTAAAAAGTGTAAGGAACCTCAGGTGTTCACCCACTTTCAACCTTCATGGCCAGTCTGGTTTCATTTCCATCCCTCTCCTTTGTCCCCCAACTGTCTGTTACTTTGAAACAAATCCCAGACATCATGACAGGTTTTAGCTGTAACTATTTCCGTACATATTTCTAAAGATTAAGGACTCTCTTTATTTAAACCATAATGCCATTATCATATCTTAACTACATCCCTAATATCATGAGATTTCTATTCAGCCTTACATCATTTCCTAACTGCCATATACATTTTTTACATTTACATTTTATTCATTTGTGCATCAGAAATATATAAATTGAATCAGGATGCAAATGAAGTCCACAGTGATTGGTTCAAAGGTCCTTCAGTTGCTTAGTCTGTAGTTCCCCACATGTCTTTTCTTTCCCTGTTGTAACTTTTTGCCTCAAGAGTCTGGGTCACTTATCCATAGTTTCCCATAGTCGGAAGTTTGCTAACTGCATTATACTAGCATAGTTTATTTCATTGTTCTGTTTCTTATAAACTGGTAGATTGAGAAGCTTAAGTCGGGTTGTTTCTGTTTCTACTTCCTGCAAGACTGACTGTCACGAGTGGCATGTAACGAAAGATTATTTTAAAGCTGCTGCTGCAGACCGCTTAAGCCCAGATTTTTAAGGCCTCCAGGTAAATGAAAGGAGTCTACTCACACACATAATGTGAGGCAGGTGGTGAGTGACTTCTCTTTTCTGCAGTAATGCTCTAGTTGAAATTATCTCCAGGAATCTTCTGCATGGAAGCAAGGAAGAGGACTTGGAAGGTACTCTGTAGTGCTAGGCGGCTCATGGACTCCGCCCTTCGTGACTGTAGTGGACGCTACAAGCTGCGAGCAAGGCTGTACAGCTATGTGCTTCTGCAGCTTCTGGCTCTTTCACTCTGGTTTAAACATGCAGCTTCTCATTCACACTGGATACATTTCGAGTGCTCAGTAGCCGTACGCACCTCGCAGCTGTCCTCTGCACCGTACTGATATAGATGGTTTCCGTCAACTCTGAACATCCTGTTTGAGATTCTAGAGAGATCACGGGATAGACAGACTGAAATTTTCTTGGTGTTCGAGCATGTTTTTAGTTGAAAATTTTTCTATGAATCTTACAGTTTGGATTTCTGTAGTTTTTTTTTAATGTTTTCTTTTATTATTATTTTTTTATTTTGAGAGAGTGCAAGCAAGGGATGGGCTGAAAGAGAGAATCCCAAGCGGGCTCCGTGCTGTTAGCACAGAGCCCGATGAGGGGTTCGAACTCACAGGCTGCAAGAGCATGACCTGAGCAAAAATCAAGAGTCAGAGGCTCAACCGCCTGAGCCATCCAGGCGCCCCGCTAGTGCACAACTACCCTTTTAAACTAGGAATCCTGCAGGACCGTTTGTCTTTTGGTAGAAAGCATGAGCGCTGTGTTTCTGGCCAAGTTTGTTATAGATACTATTAGTGTCTCTCCTGTTTTTAATGTTGTGTTTCAGCTTGTTAATAATGTATCGAGATTATCATATCCAGAAAGCATACCAACAGGTGACAGTATAAACACAGATTAAACTGGTACAGTGAACAGAAAGGTGGTGATAGTTGCGATGGTAACGTGCTCAGAAACCAACACATTACGTTTCTGTCTGTTTTACAACATTTTTATGAAATGATTCCACGGAGTGAAGTTTTATAGCACAGAAAGTTAAAGCAGCACAGTTACCCAAATATTTTGATTCTCATAGGCAAAGTGTTAGCCGGGCAGCAAATTTTCTAGCTGGCTGACAGAATGCCCTCCAATCATACAGGTACTTCGGAGAAACCACTCTTTCTGAAGGGTACGTTTTATCAGCTCTGTTGCTGATAAACATTAACCTATGGGCTGCCCTACCTCCCAAGTGAAGAAGCAGTGTACCATTTTACTCTGTTTCTGTTTGGTCTAAAAATACTTTACAAGTAATTGAACTCTGCTTGACCTTTTACAGCGGAGGTTCAGAGTGAAATCGAAAGGATTTTCGAACTTGCAAGAACACTGCAACTGGTCGTCCTTGACGCAGATACTATTAATCATCCAGCTCAACTTAGTAAAACTTCCTTGGCTCCCATTATAGTATATGTGAAGATTTCTTCTCCTAAGGTAAGCAGGGTTGTTACCATCAGCTCTCTAATCAGACGTCACTGTGGTGTGTTTATGCTGTGCTTTACGATTATAAAAGGCTATGTTTCTATCATCAGGAGTCTGAAGAGACAGGGTAGTCAAGAGTTTATAAAATAAGCAAACACCGTATAGTTAGTTTCATGCCTTCGAACAGTGATTCCTACAAGTGTGGTCCATGGTTTCCTGGGGGAAGATTCTGAGAAACTTCCGGAGAGCCCACAAGGTCAAAATTATTTCCATAACACTAGGAAGACGTTATTTTCCGTTTTCACTGCTTTGGCATTTGTCCAGATGCTGCAAAAGCAGTGGTGGGTCGAACCGTTGGTGCCCGTGACCCGAGCCTGGTCCCAGACCACACCCGCAGGTGAAACCACCACCACCAGGCAGCTTCGCGGAGGAAAGTCCTGCCAAAGGAGTAAAATTTGAGCCTTTTCCATATTCTGTGTAATGAAACAGGAAGCACACTTGAAAGTGCTTCAGCTCCAGTGTTAGCAGTTATCGCGAGGACACACTGAATTATAAACTCGCGGAGCTTCTTTTTTCACAGAACACTAGGCATCCTATGTTTAGTCAGACTTGCTTATTTGGCAAATCTTCCTCCATTTGTCACCAGTGCTAAAACTGAAGGTTTCAAACAAAAATTAGAATTTCAGAAAATTCGCATCTACCTGAGAGCTTAGCAGCTTCTCACAAGACAGACTTTTCTGAGGCTAATGGTAAGAGCAAATACATTGTTTTAATGTTGTATAAGAAACGTGTCAGGAGTTCTGAAGCAGTCAGTGAACCATTAGTTTTCCAGGTGATGAATGACTGTTGTTACGAATCCTGCATAGTAAAAGATCCATTCAATTTTTAAGACCGATCAATGGAATTTAAGAGTAAGAAAAGTTCATTGACAGGCTTTTAGCTTTCACATGCAGACTGTCGTGAAGAAACAGAACAAGTGGTAGTTTGGGGTAATAGTAGAGAACAGTATCCGGTTATCTGCAGAGGCTACTAAAATATCCCTCCTCTTCTGAATTCCCTGTCTGCTGAAGGATGGATTTCTTCACGTAGTTCGACCAAAACAATACACAGTAGCAGATTAAAAGTAAGTGTAGCTGGGAGACTTTGCAAGAAATGTAGACAGTTGTACAAAAATTAGTAGGTTCACATGGAACGGGTTGATCATTAACTTAGTTTTTTTTTAAATGAATATTTAAAAATTTTCAGTTTTCGTTTCCATGGTAAATGTTCTAACTTCATAGAAACAAAAGTTCTTTGTTTTAAAAAACTGAGAACCCCAAGGAGTCATGAGACCAGAAGTCTGGTAAGACTCGGGATGTATCTTTTTTGAAGCCTGCACCTGAGAGGTGTGTTACATGTGAGTGCCGCCATTTTAGACATTTTATAGCTCAGTCTGTTGAGCTGTTCTTTACCTGAGTGTAGATATTCTTCTGTTAAACCTTATCTTTCACAGGTTTTACAAAGGTTAATAAAATCTCGAGGGAAATCGCAAGCTAAACACCTCAACGTCCAGATGGTGGCAGCGGATAAACTGGCTCAGTGTCCTCCAGTAAGTTGTCTCCTTGCACTGTATGTAGAAAGCACACAGAGGCCAGACAGGTAAACGTGTCCGGGAGACGATTCTCTCCACGGACCCGTGGTTTTCACTCCCAAGAAGCGAATTGTCCTACCCGTCCCCACAAGCACTTGTCTAGATCACGGCTTAGAAAAAGTGACAGTGCGTCCGGTGGTGGCCTGGCGCTGTTTGTTAGTATCTAATTATCATTGTAAGTGAAACAAGATCGTGGTTTCCAAGATTTCGTTTATAAAATGGATCTATTTGGGATTAATTATTCACTTCTAATACTAGGGAGTGAGTTGTTGCCTCTTCACAACTGAGAAATTGATTTGAGACCATGTGAAAACAAATTTCTAAACAATCAGAACACCTTCCTCCTTCTAATCCCTGCTTTACTAATCGCGCTTTGGGACTCTCGATCACCTCTGAGGCTTTGTTTTGACATGCAGGTATAGCAGAAGCTGTGAGAGGTCTGATTAATTTTTTTATTGCTTGGAATAGCTTTAAGTTGGGACCCTGTCAAATCAGATGTGGTTTCATCTTTTTTCTGCCAAATTCCACGTCCTAATCTGGCCTCAGTAATTTCCAAGGTGAAGTTTTTCGTGGGCTATCGTGTCCTCAACAACCTTTCACGTTTTGGTGACGACTACTGGCTAAGCCTCGAGGGTTGTAAGCCGTGTTCTGGGGTGGCCAGACCCTCACAGCCGGCCTGTACAGGACAGTCAGCCAGCCTGATGAGGCGAAGCGGTGCAGCTCTCGAGCCCCTTCCTCGTGTGAGCGTGTGGCGCTGGGCGCGGGGCTGGGTACTGCGCCGCCTCACCCGGCTGTCCCGGCAGGAGCTGTTTGACGTGATCCTGGACGAGAACCAGCTGGAGGACGCCTGCGAGCACCTTGCCGACTACCTGGAGGCCTACTGGAAGGCCACCCACCCTCCCAGCAGCCATCTCCCCAACCCTCTCCTCAGCCGGACTCTAGCCACTTCAGCTCTGCCTACCAGCCCCACTCAAGCCTCTAATTCACAGGTAAGAGGAGCTCTTTCCTACGCTCTAGAAACAGGGCTGCCCTAGGTCACGTGGCTGGGACCCACGCCCTGTTACCCAGCGCGGCCCTCCTTCCTGTTAGAGCAGCTCCATGCACACTGAGGCAAACGCTGAGTCATTTGCTGTCGTCAGCGGGAGCTGTGTGCCTGTAAAAAAAAAAAAAAAAAAAACCAGGTAACCAGTATGCTGCAGTCGTATATAAACGTTAAAACTCCCTAACTACAAGTTCTAGAAGACAAGACCGAATTTTTCTATACCGTCCGTAGCACAGCCACGGAATCAGACTGCCCGGGGTCACGTTCCGGCGCCACGGCTCTCTGGGTATGGAAGTTTGCTTAAGTTCCTCACGTGCGCTCGGCCTCACAAACACTGGCCGCCTGTCCCCTACGGCTGCTGCATTAATGAATTAATACACAAGATGAACTTAGGACGGTACTTTCCTCATGCTAAGTGCTATGGGAGCATCTGACATTTTACTTTTTTCCCCTCAATCCAAAGCCAACATCTTAAGCGTTTTTTAATCTTTCCACGTGTACTCAGGTAGAGGTAGTTAAATGTGCACTTGCGTACAGAAAAATCTTAGGGACCTGAATCTGATTTGAACTCCAAGAGAACATATAAAAGGATTCCCTCCGCCCTTCACTTATTCATTAAGGGGGAACAAAAGTCCCTCTGTCCACTCCTGTGGGCACTCACAAATTAAAGTCCAGTACAACGTAGTACAGACCTCAGAAATGCCACTGGGTGTTATCAGAAGAATGGAGAAACTGAGTAGGTTAGATTCCCTTCTAGAAACTTCCAGGGGAATAAACCTGAATGGATGGGCTCGCTCCTCTGACATGTCAGTCCTTGACTCTCCACCCCGGCTGACGTCCGCATTGGCTTCCTCCCCTGCCAGGGATCTCAAGGAGATCAGAGGACTGAGCGCTCCGCTGCCGCCCGTTCTGCCGCCCCAGCCGAAGACGAGCCCTGCCCGGAGCCCGTCAGGAAACCCCAACACCGGTCCTCAGCTCAGCACCACGGCCATCGCGGCGGGACGAGTCGAGGCCTCTCCAGGCAGGAGACGTTTGACTCGGAGACCCAGGAGAGCCGAGACTCTGCCTACGTGGAGCCCAGGGAGGACTACCCCCACGAACACGGGGACCACTATGCCTCACACCGCGACCACAACCATAGAGACGAGCCCCACGGGAGCAGCGAGCACAGACACAGGGAGGCTCGGCACCGGGCCAGGGACCTGGAGCGCGAGCAAGACCACAGTGAGTGCAACAGACAGCGCGGCCGCCATAAATCCAAGGACCGCTACTGTGACAAGGACGGAGAGGGCCTAGCCCGCAGACGGAACGAGGCCGGCGAGTGGACCAGGGATGTCTACGTCCGCCAGTGACTTCTGCTCTTTTGTGTTGTTGTTGTTTTTTTTAAGTCTTGTATGACACCACCCTCAGACTAAATCTTGGGGGTCTACACTGCAGTCATATGTGATCTGTCTTGTATACTTTGTACTGCTGTTGCTTGAAGAGCAACAGCATGATTGGTAAGGAGTATTAAGACACTTGTTCTTTCCGTCAGCTGGCCCGGTGCGGTGCCGCACTCCGGTGGTATACGGGACTTACCACAAACCGCTTCGGAGAGCTGCCGCTTGAACAAAATCTGCTGCCATCCAGGTGGCTTTAGGATTTTAAGAAACATAGTTGATGTTTTCAAAAATGTACTTAATGTATCCAGCAAGCCAGAACTGGCCCAGATAAAAAAGAGGAATTTCTTGATTCTCCAGATTTTTAATACGTAGGCACCTGATTTGCATACTCATTTATCCATGGACCACCGTTTCTTGCTTGTACCTCTGGCTGACTAAATTTGGGGACAGATTCAGTCTTGCCTTACACAAAGGGGATCATAAAGTTAGAATCTATTTTCTATGTACTAGTACTGTGTACTGTATAGTTTGTAAATGTTATTTCTGCAAACACCTTCTTATGATAATTATATATATAATATATAAATATATATATATCAGTTTGATCACACTATTTTAGAGTCTTAATGCCAAGTCAGCAGATTTGCTTTACGAATTACAGGGACGAGAAATGCCCACCTTCAGGAAATTTGTTACATTGTCTAGACGTCCCCATTCTAGGAGAAAGTCTGTACATACTGTAAATACGCGTGATTGCCTGACTTGAAAAGGTTTGATTTCTGAATGTTTTACCATCCTTGTAAGTTTATAATTTTGACCATAAATTATGGTAAATCTAACCAAACTCCAAAGGTTGTTCTAATCCATGCAGTTCACACTGATCGTGACAAACACGCTCTCCGTAGTTAGTGTCTTCTGTCGCTGCACTGGACTGTACGAGCCAGACCTCTCTGGGTGCGAGTGTGTCTGTGTGTAAGAGTGTGTACGCGTGTGCATGAGCGACTGAGACGGACCTGGTGCCGAAGACGCAAGACTGATGGCCTCGAATCCTACCCACCTGGCTTTGTGTTTAGCTGCGCTGCGTGGCTCTTCAGTAACCCAGCGAGCAGTCAGGGGATGGAGGAAGCTCTGCCCAGGTGACCAGGAAAGCTTTCATCTGCTGGCTCCCAGGTTTTGCTCCTAGAGTAAGAATACAGGCAACTTTTAACTGTGAGTGTTTCACTGGAAATGTACAATCTTCGTGTGTCTGAGTATTTGTTTTAGTAAGAAATGTTTACACAGCTTGTAGATTTCGTGGGAAAATAAATTTTTCTAACTTCTCCCACCTCCTTTTCTAAACCTTGCCTATCGCTCCTGTCGTTTCTCTCCCTCAAATGTACCCTCCGTTCCACTCCCTGCCTCCAGCTCCAACACGACCACTGTCCCTCAGACCGAGAAGTGCGTCTTAGAACCAAAGTTTCTGCTCTTCAGAAGTAATCAGGGCAAAATGAGGGGACTTGAAGGGAACAAAACGTTAAGAGTATCTTCCTACGTCAGACACCCACGCTGAAGGGGAGCCCGGAAGATCCTATTTCCCACGCCTCGATGACAGCACTGTCCGCAGCTCGCAGTGTGCTTGCCACGCTAAGGCTGAAACCTATTCCGTGTCACTGTGTGTCCATTTTGTCCAGTTGTGACTGGACAGGTAAGACAGTATTAGGTGTGCAAGTACCTCGCACCTGACGTTTGTCCCTGGAAAATGCTGATCTCTAATGGCCTAACTTCAGCTCTACACATTGTAAAAGGATTATTTTGTTAAATGGGTTAATCTATTTTTGATTATTCCAGGTTCTTGCCAAACATTCTTGGACCTTTATATGTACAGTGGTTTCACATTTAACTCCTTATTTCCCTCCCTGCACAAAAAAACTCAGTTTTACAAATGAGTTACAGTTAAAGGGTTTTATCAGCTACTATAAGAAACATTTTCCTCAGAATTAATCTTTTTGTTAATTAGCTCTGTACCGTTGACAAATTTATTTACTGAAGATGAAAACAGTAGTCCTATACATTTCTGATGTAAAATAGTCATATCATTGGGACACCATATTCCAGTCAAAGTTACCTGTATAAAATATTTCTGAAAATTTTCATCCCAATTAATAACTTTGGATATCTAAATTCTTGAAGTATAACTGGTATTTCTCTGACTTGCTGCTACCACTAATCCTTTTCAAAGAGTCATGCCAAAAGATTCCAGTTTTAGAATTTTATATCTGGATTCTTAATTTTTCACTTTACTGTCAAACATATTAGTCCAAATCCAAGTATTCCTCAAAAAAACTATCTCGCCAGATTCGACACGAGCAGCTCTATCTGGAAACTGTATAGCAGACTTATGTGTAAACAGTGTGTTCTAAATCTATAAATGAAGAAATAATCCCAAGGGCAAGGGGAGATGTATTGACTTGTGGAATGTAAAATTAGTCTTTTCACTCAGTAAAGGCTTAATCTTAACCTACTCAGTTGTAGAATCCTGATCTTTGTAGTCAACGCAGAAAATGCTGGCAATGTCCTTTATAGTTCTGTGTTTTATTGTCAAATCCATTTCAGTTTCTCCTGTGCTCTTTCTCTACTGCTCATTTAAGTTACTGTTACAAAAAGGTGCTGCTAAATGTAGGATGTCTTAGTCATACTGTACTTTGGGACAACGCCACATTTTTAACATGGTCTGCTATGCGTTCCTGTTACACATTCACTGTCAGCTACACTGAACTGTTCCAGAAATCTGGTTGAAAGTCATTCATATAAAACAAATAAAGAGCTGGCTTTCTGCACTGTTAGTAGTAGTGGTATTGATTGCCATTCTAGGAATAGTTCCGATGGCCGAGAACACGCCCGGGTCTCCGCACCGGTGCTCACCTGTGAAGCAGACTTCCCAAGGACAATGCTAATCCCTGACTGACTTCAGTGACAGTCCCATCGTGTCTAATCAAATGATCGCCTGCGGTAGGTAAAGATCCTTTAAGATCGGGCACAACAGAGTCCTCTTTCTCCGACCTCAGTTCTACGTGTGTGGCAATTCTTGACTCAGATGGTTTTTATTATTCCTTCGATTTTCAAATGAAGATGCATCTTGATGTCCCATTTAAATCTTCCCCCTCGCCCCTGCTCAGCAACGCAATGCGACCAGTCTTGGAGCCTCCCATCTTACTAGTATGTCAAGAGTCACACTATTGGAGAGAACAGTAGTAGCTACATCATTCTGGGTCAGTTATTTCATTCTGGCTAAACTGTATTTTTAACTACTTGTACTTCACTTTACTATTTAAACTCTGGCACAGGGTTTTGAAGTAAAATGCACTCACTGTTAAAATGCTTTCTTTGTTTCACAAGAATATTTATGTTAACCTTAAATATGTTGAGATAATATATTGTCCTCCATATTTCCCAGATTCTCCCCCTTTTATTCTATTTTTTCTCAAATCTGAGTCCCTTAAATGTGTTTTACTTTCCAATTTGCCCGATTTTTTGAAGGAAAGAAACCCACTGAAATTGTCCACGTCAGAGCAACAATTTTTTTTAACTATTCTCTGTCCAGGCCCAGCACACTAACAATGAGCGTGTCGAGTACCAGGACAGCAGCAGACGTGTGTCCTGGGCGTGTATGGAAAGACAGAAATGCCGAAGCCAACCTCTGAGAAGGCTATTCAAGAAAGGCCTCTTCTTTGAAGAGGCCTGCTAAGGATCTTACCTGGTCCAAGAGACCTTGCGATCTTGAGGGACACAACAGATAGAAGAAAATTCTGAACAGAAACCTAGGAGGGAAAAAAAAGAAACTATTAAGTAATTGTTCCCAATTGTCCACTTCATATGCCCAAGGCCGAGAGATCCTGAGATGATTCAGATGGAAGTTAACGAAACACTGAAATGTATTTAACACAATACAGGCGCTGGGTACTGAGTATTTTCATGTATCTTCTCTACAAAGCAGTAGGGAGAAGCCAGCCTAAGGTTCTAATTTTTAACAAGAGCAGTCACATGGCCACCAGCAGTGGCACATTTGGTCACTTTTGGGGGTGTTCGTGGTTTTGCTGGATTCCAGAGTTGATCACGAGGTGCTCTCCTTTTGTCTTGATCTACCATACTCACGGCTGCTTTGTCTCATGCCGGGAGCTCTGTGAAGGTGCTGATGTTCCACAGAACCCCCAGGGGTGGCTCTGGCTCTAAGTGCTGATCCAGTTCCCAGCTACCGAAGCTACTTGCTTCTTTCTCACTAATCACATCGCAGTAACTTGCACAACAGGTATTCCAGTGGATGATAAAAAGTACCCAAACTGTTGTAATTTTAATCTACAGAGTGAAGAAAATATTATCGTCTTCAGCTTAAAAGCATGAAGAAAAAGAAAACATGGTGAAGGCACACTACCATTTAGGAGAAGTCCAGACATCATTTCAAAGAGCTGACTGATCAAATGGTAACTCAGATAGGAGTACATGGAAAACATACTCTTATAGTTCCCAGACCCTGAATTCTCAGGGAACTGCTACCACTTAGGAACTCTCAGGAACAAACACCACTTTTTACCAAATTATTACTCATTTTATTCCTCTTGTTATCATCACAGATTTTCACATTAAAATTGATTTGCATCCTTCACACATTAAAACAAAACCGTAATGAAAAAATGCTCCAGGCATCTGTAGGCATCTCCTTTTCTCTTTACTGGACTAAGTCCTTAAGGAAAAAAAATTATTTTAAACACAAAATATGATCTTGTACCACCCCCAACTACCTCCTCCGTGAAGCAGTCTCTTGATGAAGTCTCTTGGTCCCTGGTGCAACAGCTGGCAGCCTTTTTTCTGTTTCCTTAGCAACTATGCCATCAATCACCAGGCTCAACAACAGTTTGATTAAAAAAGAAAAGAAGAAGAAGGAAGGAAGGAAGGAGGGAGGAAAGGAAGGGAGAAAACTAAAAAGCATACAGCTAACGTTTGGAGCTTTCATTTCTATGGATCCTTCTACGTGCTTCTGCATTTTATGAATTTTGCAATAAAAAAACCAATACAATCTTTATTTGCCAGCGAAATCAGGTCTTCTACCCTGGCACCTCCGAGGGAACCGAGGTCCACGTCCCGTATTGGCACAACAGATGGATCAAATCGCTGCAGCTGTTTCAGTTGTTCAAGTGACAGGCCAGCCCCCATCATTCCTTCTCCTCCAATCTGTGGTTCCTGTGTGCAGAAAATGAACAACTTATCAACATCCTGTAATTACTAAGTGTGCCTGTGTACAATTTAAAAGACAACATTGAGGTTTAAGTACCAACAATTCCAAAAATAGATAAACAGTATCTTTGTGGAATATACATGCGGTTTTTCTCTGTGGGAACAAACGGTCACCTGAGGAGTATGAGGACCCATGTGCTCACCAAGTACCGCAGCTTTGCCACATTTTGCTGTATGGATTTTTCTTCTTTTTTAATGTTTATTTTTGAGAGAGAGGAAGAGAGACAGTGCACACACAGGGGAGGGAGACACAATCTGAAGCAGGCTCCAGGCTCTGAACTGTCAGCACAGAGCCTGACACGGGAGTCGAACTCACAAACCGGGAGATCATGACCTGAGCCAAAGTCGGACGCTTTAACTGACTGAGCCTGCCAGGCAGCCCTAGCTGTGTGGTGTTAAGCAAATAACGTTACCTGTTTCCTCATCTATAAAACAGATAAGGTACTCAGTTCTAAGATTTTAACAAGGGGATATTATGCCTGGTATATAGTGGCCAGTCAGTGAAACATTATCAGTAACAATAAATACAAATTCAGTTTTATTGTCACACTCCCCAAAGCAGACAGAAGTTCCTTTCTCTGACCCACACCAGTTGGATGATAAAAGTTTTCAATTGTTGTTTTTGAATGCACTAGAGCAGATATTACAAAAAATAATGGCTGTGTTGACTGGTTTAGAATATAGAATCATAAGGAACTGAGTGGTATGTGTGAACCAGACCACAAAGGAGCCAGAATCCTAACTGAAGTCACCACTGCACAAATGTGTGTGCATTACTGAAAACCTATCGTTTTATTAACTCATGAGGAAAAAGTCTCTATCTCTTTTAGGTATTTATTGAGTGTTGTGTATGTACACACACACACACACACACGTATAAAATTCAAGTGAATTCTGAAGTCTTCCTTTCCTCTACAATGCAATTATCTTAATTTCTGAGACTGGAAACCCTCGCTTGATTGCTTTGTATTCATAGATTCCAATTACCTACTAGAATTCTGTACAGAAAGGTTGCTGAGGTTAGAGGTTCAATGTATCTAATTGAATGTGAGCACTGTTACAGATTTAAACTTAATCTCAAACATCATGGGTTAAACACATAGTCATAATATAGTTTTGATAAACACCAGAAGAGGTCAAATAAAGTGTAAGAAAACTTCTAAAACGTTACCCATATTATGTAAGAAATTGTGAAGAAGCACTATTTCTGAACCATTTTCCCCCCTTTGCTAGTCTTATGATGGCCCAGTTATTAAAGCCGATTTGATGAAGAGAATAATGCTCAACATATTCCGTACCAGCAAAATATAGGACCGAAAGGAATAAACAACTTCTTCGGGGAAAAAAAAGAAAGTTCTGCATAACCCGAACAAGAGCCACAGGTGAACGAAACCCGTAACGCAAGCACACCGGGGCTCTGTGGCGTTCTAACACAAGGGCAAGGAAGGAAGACGGGCAAAATAGCGGGGATGTGGGAATTCTCTGCGGGCAGTTCCCAAATAGGTCTCACTAGAGAAACATGCTCGTTGACTGCAGTACTTGTTTCTGAAGTTTCGCTGGACACACTTCTTCATATGACAAGCTTGCGCTCATCACCACACTCACGTTTCTGTGATCTGTCACATGACACAGAGAAAAACCGGACTCACTCATACCTGGGGCTGAAGCCGGAGGCAAGGAAAGGCTGCGAGGGCCCAGGCCACCTGCTCTTCGTTTTCTGCCAGCGTGACGGTGCACGTGCTGTAGACCAGCGCGCCTCCAGGCTTCAGCAGCTCCACCGCCTGCAGAGACGTGTGCTCAGACCATGGGGGTGCCACGGCCAGTTCAGCGTTTTACAGGATCTTGTACCTAAAGGACATCTTTCACATGCTGGGGATAAGTGTTCTGTATGATCAAGATTCGTTCTCTAATTAGAGTGTTCCGGCGCAGGTGCACTTCACGGTCTCAGAGCTGTCAGTCCATTTAAAGCAAGACTTTCCTAAATGTAAGCATTCACTTTCGCTACTTTAGACACCACTTTTAGGCCCGAAACTCACACATGTACACTTTGTTATATATAACTTACTCATCTGTTCATTTGCCTCCCCCGTTGGAACAGACACTCCATGAATAAGGCAGGGATTGTCATTTTGTCACTGCTATATTGATAGCACCCACAACAGTCCCTATTATATCATCATCAGGGGCTCAATGAATACTTGTCCAGTAAATAAATGAATCAGAAAATAAGGTATAATAAGAAAATAAATTTTCCCAAATAACTAAAAAGTGTACCTTTTCAAACTCACAGATATTTAGGGAATGTGGATGGCACAGCTGGTTAAGCATCTGACTCTTGAGTTCTGCTCAGGTCATGATCTCACAGTTCAAACTCCCAGATATTTAAAAACATTAAATTTTTTTTTTTTTTTTTACTATTTGTCTATTTTTGAGAGAGATGCAGAGTGAGAGAGCATGAGCAGGGGCCAACAGAGAGGGAGAAAGAGAATCTGAAGCAGGTTCCAGGCTCTGAGCTATTAGCACAGAGCCCAATGCGGGGGCTCGAACCCACAAGCCATGAGATCATGACCTGAGCCGAAGTTGGGGCACTCAAGTGCCCCAATATTTAAAAACATTTTAATGAAAACCTTTAAAATACACAGTATACATAGTATATACTATTATATACAATGTATATATATATATTACTATTATATATACATTATATTATATATAATGTGTGTATATATATATGATACATACACACACACACTACATGCCATCTGGTATGTATAAGTATGTAATAAACTATATAATAATGTATACTGCCTATACTACATATACTATATTTTTATTGCATATAGTATATATTTGTGCTTTCTTAACTACAGTATGCTGATGAAAATTTAAACTTTGTTAGTGTGCCAATTATTGTTTTAAGCATTTTATATGGATTTTCTCAATTTACTTATAGCCAGGAGGTATAGTTACTATCTCCAGTGAGGTACCCCTATTAGGTGGATTTATAGTACCTCTTCTCATACACGGAAACCAATGTCCCGAAAGTCCCTCATGTAGGAGCACAGTTCCAAACCAGATAGCGTCTGATTATCAAGTCCACATTCTCAGTCAACACAACCCCGTACTAACTGGCAAAACTGCTATATTCTGAATTCTCTCGTACAGTCAGCTATCACTTTTCATGAAGATCCCTGCATCTACTCTTAAGTAGCCTTTTAAAATGTTCTTTCTGCTTTGACCCAAAGAAGAACAAAAAGCCCAGTCTTTTAAAACAGTGTCTTAATTTTATCCTCAAGTCAGAGTGGGTTTCAACCATAAGTAAAGCTTCCTTTTTTCTGTTTGCTGTTTTAATTTCAGGATGTGCTTTTTGAAGACTGTACAGAAGGTGAAAAAGTTAAATACTCTACTGTGAGTGCCACCTTTGCATATAAACGGAGACAGCAGAAACATGCTCAAAGGAAACTGGAGAGATGGCATAATTACAGTGCGTCTGTTTGTGGCTGCCTATGTGTCTGTTAAGAGCAGGGCTGAGACAAAATAACAAAGTCATCTTTGATCAAATGCTCTCTACCTTCTGTGAAATCCACGGAATCATCTTCACAAGCCTGAAAGAAATCCTCAAATGTTCTATTTGGGTGTCTCCTTAAATGTGCTAGAGAGCGGTGAAATGGGCCAAGTTTTTATGGTTCTTCTCTATCCTACACTGAATAATCGTTTCTCATTTTTATCGATGTTTTGCCTCTAGGGGACTTCCCACTTCTAATACACTACCCAAGATGGTCCAGGAACCCTATAAGAAAAGAGTAACCCATTTTATATCCCATTCCTTACACATCACTTAGTAACTATGATGTTAACACCTCAATGACTTCTTAGGATGTATCAGAATGTTAGAAACTCATTAAATGTCTCTGAAGAAATTCTATTGTCTGTAATGAAAGAGTGATCAACAAAAATGAAAGTTTCGTGTATTTAAAACTAGGTTTTCTCTGTCCTTTAACATAAATAACATAATAACTTGCCGTTTTAACCATCTGTAAGTGTACAGTTCAGTGGCATTGAGTACATTCACACTCTCTGTAACCCTCACCGTTACCCATCTCCAGAGCTTTTCATTTTCCCAAATGCAAACCCCGTACCCATTTTAAACACGGATTCCCCATTCTCCCATCCCTCCAGCCTCTGGTAACCTCTCTTCTGCTTTCTGTCTCTATGAATGTTCCTATTCCAGTCACTCATATACATGGAAACAGACAATATTTGTCTTTCTGTGTCTGGCTTATACCACTCGGCCTAAGTTCCCAAAGGTCATTCATGTTGTACCAGAATTTCCTTCCTGCGTAAACCTGAAGAGTATTCCACGGTACGTGTACACATTTTCCCTATCCATTCACCTGCTGATGGACAAGTGGGTCATTTCCCTATTTTGGTTATTGTGAAAAATGCTGCTAGGAAGATGGCATCTCAGTGTTTGAGACATCAAACTAGCGAAGGTCAACTGTTTTCTCACATCAAAGTGCCATCACATACCACAGTAAAGAGTTTTCTCTGCAATGGTTGATATGATGTCACTTCTTTCAAAGTCCAAGAACAAGCCATGTTTGGTCTCTGTCCCATTCCACTGCACGGTGCATCAAGAAGAACTCGGTCAAAAGATTCTGGTAAGAATGGAGGTTTTCCTGTGAAGAGAATTATAAACACAACTGTTATCTGCCTGTAGGTCTAGAATAGAAAGTTCCTGAGAAGGGCGCCTGGGTGGCTCAGTTGGTTGAGCGTCCAACTTCAGCTCAGGTCATGATCTCACTGTTTATGAGTTCAAGCCCTGCGTCAGGCTCTCTGCTGTCAGCACAGAGCCCACTTTGATCCTCTGTCTCCCTCTTTATCTCTGCCCCTCCCATGCTCATGCTCTCTCTAAATAAATAAATAAATAAATAAATAAATAAATAAATAAATAGAAAACTCCTAAGATAGAACCAATTATCAGGAATTTAAAATCACAATCTAGACTACAAAGAAAAACAATTTCTCCTTTCAAGTAACTGGTAAAATTAATTCTGACATATGTAAAATGTTTAAAAACGTGATTACTATAATTGAGGGTTATTCTGTTGACACAGTGCAAATTAAGGCCTAATCAAATGAGACTTTGTATCCCCAATGTCAGAAGCCACAATTCATCAGAGCGAGGACCTGGAATTCATCCTAGTCACATTGAGAGCGGACACTTCTCTTGGCGATCCCTACCGCAGACAGCCCCCCAAAAGAAGAGTATCTGTTAGGTTCTGGTCAAATCTTCTAGTTCTGAGGTTTCTCACTTTCCTTGCTTTTGTGGCCATCAGCAGGGCTATGCTCTAGAGCATCTATCTCCCTGTATCACACAAATTGTCTCCACTTCAACTTCTGAGCTGTTCAGTGTTATTGGAGAAAATCATGAAACCAGTCTGCTTATATATTTCTGCTATTTAATAACTGCAAGAGAGTGCTGCTGACTGCTCTCATGGGAAGCCAGCTGATGCCCAGAGGAACCACAATCAGCGGCTCTGAGCATCACAACATCACCTGCTTTTCTCTGACTGCAAAACTGTTAGACACATGCTCTTATCAATTTAACTCATCTCCTCTGTAACCATCCCTGGTTTCTTACCTACGGTCCCAGAATATCTTCTCAAAGTAAACAATTATTTTTACAGTTTTTGATACATACTGAAAAATGCTCTAGAAAGACTATACCAATTTCCACTTTCATTACAATTATATGTATTTTCCCCAAAATCTTCATCAAAAGATTTTTTTTATTTATTATTATTACTGTTATTATTGTTTCATTGGCCATTTGCATTTCTTTATATGGTCACCTGTCTTGTTTTGTCCTTTTTCTCCTGAGGCTGTTGTCTCTTTCTTACTGATCAGGAGAGCTACGGGGACAGTAGCTGCTTTCTATGTGTGGTTAGCTCTGCGATGCCTCCGTGATCTCCTTTGCTTTTCCAGCTCTCTGACATCCATTTAACAGATTCCTTACATTATTTATTCATACCAAATTGTCTCTCTCAGAAAACCAAAAACTATTCCCGCAGCTACCTACATCTCTTGAGTAAACTCCTCACACTAACAAAGACATCTTCTCTAGCTTCTCTATGACTCCACCTACTTCTCCAGCTGTCTTTCTCAGTACTCGGCTGTACTCACCAATGTTAAAAAACAAACAAAAAACCCACAACATCACTTTGTTACCCAAAAATGTCATGAGCTTTGATATTTCCATGCTTCTGCTAATTCTATTTACCTGAGATCCCCCCGGCACTTATTTCCACTTGTCACAATACTATCTACCTTTTTAAGGCCTAATAATGTCACCTCCTCAACCTAAACTCTTTTTCTCTTGTCCCTAGAAGAAGTAATCCTTCCCTCTGAGTTCCCACAGCCTTAGGTATCTTTTGAATGTATAATCTTTTTATTTTTTTCTTTTGAGAGAGAGAGAGAGAGAGAGAAAGCGAGAGAGAGCAGGCAAGCATGTGAGCAGGGAAGAGATGTAGAGGGAGAAGGAGGAAATCTCAAGCAGGCTCCATGCTCAGCACAGAACCCAACATGGGGCTTGATCCCATGACCCTGGGATTGTGATCTGAGCTGAAATCGAGAGTTGAGTGGCTCAACCGACAGAGCCACCCAGGTGGCTTATATTAAGGTGGCTTATACCTTAGATGTGGAGTCTTATATTCACTACTGTTCAGGTCTTACTTCCATCTAGGTACTAAAAATTCTTAAAAACCAGGACAAGCAAGCCCATAAGACACGTTTGTATGAACTAGAATTATCCCCATCTCTAGAGCACAGGCTGGAATTCAGCCCCTCAACATTCCCTCCGCTAGGCGTCCTTGTACCGACCAGAATCAAATGCCCTGTCGTGGCATGACGGGGAGAGGGACAAGGCCAACTCAATGAACTCACTGTTCTTCATAAGTTTTCACAGAAAGTACTGGGTAATTATACAAAAATTGAGAAATTCCTAAAAATATTCTAGACCTGTTTTAGATTAGACTAAGATCACCAAATGACTCCAGGTACACCTGGTCCAAGAGAAATCTCTCTTGTTCAAAACTAGAAAGCCATGGAATGAACATTTCAGGCTTATATGCATTTTAAGAGTACCCAAATTTTTATTCATTCAAAGCTTTTTCTCAATACTTAATCTTAGAACTACCTCTAGTGATTTCTAAAACTGCATTCATTTGCAGTGGTGTGTAATTTAGGAGTAATTTTATGATAAAAATAATAAGATTGGACAGCATTTGGAAAGAGGAAATACAGACCTTCTCCCCAGTGTAAGAATTATAACTGGTGAAAATTATAACAAAAGCAAAAACCACCAAGTAAAGTCTCTAGAAAATGCCTGGGACATACATCAAATGAAGAAACACTTATAAAATCTAAGAAATGGGAGTATCTGTGGTATCTCAGCCACAATGCATTCCTTCCTCTGGCCCAACAGCTCTCCCTTCCCTGAAGCTCAGAGCGAGGAGGGTGCGGGGACTGCCTCCCTCCCTATACTCCCAGTCAGGAAATATGGTATCTCACTGGAAGGGGCAGGCCTGCCAGCATTTCTCGTCCTCAAGTCCCATGTTACAGAGGCTCAATTCCAGGTAAGAGCAGCGGAAAAGTCTGGGGCTGCCTTCCTGCACCCAGCCCCCACTCACATGTGGGCGGCTCTACCCCAGGCACAGTAGCACAAAGCCCCACCTGCCCTTGACCAACCACAAAAGAACCTTCAAATACAGAAGGCAAAAACTGGGAGAACTGGAGGGAGAAATACACCACGCAACAGTAAGAGTTGGAGACTTCCATCTAACTTCCAATGATAAAAAGAATAACCAGGCAGAAGATCAAAAAGGAAATAGAACACTTCAACACAAAGAAGAGCTAACAGATTATCTATAAAACATTCCTCTCAACAGTTGAATACACAGTCTTTTCCAGTGCACATGGATCATTCTCTAAGACAGAACATAAGTGAGGCCATAAAAATACAGATCAGTAAATTTTAAAAGGCTGAACTCATTTGTTCTCCCACCAAAGTGGAATGAAAATAGAAGTTAGTAACAGAGGGGCGCCTGGGTGGCTTAGTCGGTTAAGCGTCCGACTTTCGCTTGGGTCATGATCTCGCGGTTCGTGGGTTCGAGCCCCGCGTCGGGCTCTGTGCTGACTGCCAGCTCAGAGCCTGGAGCCTTTTTCTGAGTCTGTTTTTCCCTCTCTCTCTGACCCTCCCCTGCTCATGCTGTCTCTCTCTCTCTCTCTCCTAGGAATAAATAAAAATTTTAAAAATAATTAAAAAAAAAAGAAGTTAGTAACAGAAGTAGATTGGGGAAATTCAAATATGTCTAAGTTAAAAAAAAAAAAAAAACCATGCAGGGTGCCTGGGTGGCTCAGTCAGTTGAGTGCCGACTTCAGTTCAAGTCATGATCTCACAGTTCGTGGGTTCGAGCCCCACGTCAGGTTCTGTGCTGACAGCTTAGAACCTGGAGCCTGCTTTGTTTGGATGCTGTATCTTCCTCTCTCTGCCCCTCCACTGCTTGCACTCTGTCTCTCTCTCTCAAAACTAAAATAAACATTAAAAAACAAACAAACAAACAAACATGCTCCAAGGGGCCTCTAGGTGGCTCAATTGATTCAGCCTCAGCCTCCAACTCTTTATTTTGGCTCAGGTCACGATCTCATGGTTTTTAAGTTCGAGCCCCATATTGGGTTCTGTGCTGAGAGTGCGGAGCCTGCCTCAGATTCTCTCTCTCCCTCTCATTCTACTCCTCCCCTGCTTGCTCTCCCTCTCAAAATAAATTAACTGAAAAAATTTAAATACAAAAAACATGCTCCAAAATAACCATAGATCTAAGAATTGACAGGTAAACCATACAACACTTTGACATGAATAAAAACAAACACACAACACATGAAAACTTATGGAAAGTAGTGAGACACAGCTTAGTGAGAAAATTATAAATACCTACATTTTAAGAAAAGATCTCAAATCAACAACCTAGCCTTCCATTCTTAAGACAATGGAAAAATAGGAGCAAACTAAAAAATGGGGAAAAATAATAAAGGTTAGAGCAGAAATTAATGAAATAGAGAATTTACAAAAAGAGAAAGGATCAACAAAACCAAAGGTTAATTCTTTGAAAGGAGCAACAAAATTGACAAAACCTTAGCTAGACAAACCGAAAAAAAAGAGAGAGAAAAGACTCAAAAAACTAGTATCAGAAATTAAAAGGGGACAGAAATTAAAAGGGGACATCACTACTGACCTCACAGAAAAATAATTAAAAGGAATATTTGAACAACTGTATAATTCACATAATATGGACAAATTACAAGTGAAACACTAACTACTGAAAATGACTTAAAAAGAGAAAATCTGAATGTAAATCTATAGTAAGAGACTGAATTTGTAATTTTTAAAATTTCCACAAAGAAAAGCCTAGGCTCCAGTGTCTTCACTGATGAATCTCCCAAACATTTTTAAAAGTTTTAAAAATAATCCCTAATAAATTTTTTCAAAAACACAAGGAGAAAAAGGAATACTTCTGAACTCATTCTATGAGGTCAGAATTACCCTAATACCAAAACCTGACAAAGACAGCACAGGAAAGAAAACTACAGGCCATCTCTCTCCTATGAATACAGACACAAA